AGAATATCTGGAGATTTTAAAGCTTTTGTTTATTACTTTCATCATGTAGTAGGATATAAGAATATATCATTTTATATATCAAGAAACAGTATTAAGAAAATAGTATGTAAAATTGGAAAGTTTTTGTGGCACATTTCATCCATTATGATTTCATCAGACTGGACTTGGTTGATGATGCCATGTGTACACATGCACACAGAATGAGAGATGCTGGTAGTTTCAAAATTTTTGAAAGAATATTTTTGTATATTATATATTATACTTCAGCAGACATCCTTCTTTCATACAGTTTCATTAAATATAATATATATGGAATATCTTGTGATATGGTGTGATATATTGGTGTTGTCAACAAGTATTTTCCTGTATTGTGAAGGTGGACGGGAACGTGTTTTTAGACATTGTGCAATAAAACTTATATCTGACAAATGAAGTGTAAAACATTTTGATCATATGGTAGTTGTCAAACCAACATATGTACCATATTTTCCAGCTTACAAGGTGCGTTTCTTTCCTAAAAAAATACCCTGAAAAATATGTGAGCATCTTCCAAGACAAATGTAAGACAGTGCGCAGGCTCAAGTAAACTTGAACAACCACTTAATTGGCTTGACTAATAGGGATGTGGATTTGTATGTTGAGTCATTATACTATTGTTATAGTGGAACACACCTATTCTATAGTTAATAGACTCTCCCACCTATAATAAGTAGGAGTAGTAAGAGTAACGAGTCAGTCGCTGAGTGAGTTGGTCAGTCAGTCGATGTCGGACGACCGTTAGTCGAATACTAAAAGTATCAGCGACCACCACTAGATTTCTCTGCATCATTAGCTATTATATCAAGTTCCTAACGTTTTGTACATCAAACCTATTTTAGGACCGACTTAGTACAAATCCAAGCCTCCACTGTGAAACCACTCTACAACAACTATAATGTTAGCTATTTATCTAATTCAGCCTTTTATATGATGTAATCTCAGTACTTAGCTGTTACAAGTATTTCCAAGACTAAACCTTCCTGGAGCCGAGTCACAAGCTTAAACATGATCTGTTTACTAGCAGTGGCGGGAGCCTTTCTGCTCTTGACTAATATGTCATTGCCATACAAACAAAATCGGATGAGTGATTAATGTAATGTAAACAATATGTGGTGAATGTGTTGTTGCATGAGAATGACTTTTTTTCGTTAGAAATTTCTTTCCAGTATTAGGGTGCATCTTCCAAGCTGAAGCATCTTGTAAGCCAGAAAATACAGTATTCACCCAAGACTACTGTTGCCTTCAATATGCCTTGTGAGTGTTTAGTTTTCCAAACTTACTTTCTTTATTATGCATTCCAGAAACTAAAGCTGAATGTTTATTTACATGATCAACTAGATGTTATTCTATCATTTTATATATATATTTTTACATATGCATGCTAGCTCCCAGCAGGGTCATTGAGGCACATCTTCCAAAAGTAAATCGGTTGACCATTTTTCTTCTGGTTTTTACAGCTTATCAACCCTTTACAGGTTATTTAAAGCCAGAAAATATTTTTAGGTTGTAAGAAATTTTTTGAGATAATAATAGTTTAGTGATGGAAGTTTTATTAATTAACCCATATCTGGGGGAGAATACGTGGATTCATAACTTTGCCAAGGATATTTGCACGTAAGTGAAATTAAAGAAACCAACAGGAATAGAAACTCAACTCTCCAATTTACAATTCTGAGCCATTATCTATTACACCACCCACACATCCAACCATACATCACCTAGTATTCCCAAGCAGTGACCCATCTAGGTACTAACCAGGCTCAATGTTGCTTAACTTTGGTTGATCATACAGAAACCAGTGTTTCAACATGATTAAGCTGTAAGCTCTGTTTGTTATTTGTGTATAAGTTTGTCATATAGGAAGAAAATGAGTAACTACTGACACTGAGGTTCAAGTGTGAGACTCTGGACTTATGAATATATGTTTTCCACCAGATGTATAAATAGTGGTGTCAGGCTACTGACTGGAGTGACTATTGAGTGGAACTATCCAGTCGAGTTAGTGTGAATTACTGTGTATCAATGATTTGGAGTTTGATTTAGGATTTACCAGATGTTAAGCCAAGCCACACTATTTCAAGGTATTTACTGAAATAGTTAATTATCTTTGGTTGGATTTTACTTCTTGTTCTTGTTAAGTATTTATTTGCAGTTGTAATTAAATACTATTTTATCTTAACATTGAAATCTTGAGTTATACTTAATTATTTAAAAGCTACTGTACATCACAAAAAATGGTGTATTTTACTATCAAGACCCCTGATGAGTTGACACCATATCAGAGTCATTATATTTGTTCCTATCATTGCTCTATCTCTTGATACTGTGCTCTTTAATTGTAAAGACTGCTCGCCTAAAAAGCATTATCTTTCAGAAATACACTGGTCAACACTTTTCTGTTTAAAACTTCTTTATTGTTTATAGAATGTTTGATCAAACCCACAAACACCAAATATTTTGTTTTAATTTTTTTAGTTAATATCTGTCTATCTCTCTGAGGTGAAGTATTATGATTACTTGCATTATTTACATTATTTGAACCGTTATCCTCATCTTCATTGCCATATTCACAATGCTTCAGCCATTGTACACTCCAGCCTTCTCCAGGTGATTGGAGTTTCGAATCAAACCCTTTATTTTGGCCACTAGGGTAGATTGTTCTAGTTCCACATACCATACTTCTTCTGGATGTCAGTTATTTCCCTTGAACTCACTTCTCCATGTTTTGGTTCACCACTGCTGTGGCCTGGTATTGAACTCACAACTAGTCACTTGGAAAGTTGAGTTTAAAGGAAGATATCTGGAAGAGGCATGGCTCTTTAATTGCAAAGACTGCTTGCCTAAAAAGCATTATCTTTCAGAAATACACTGATCAGCACTTTTCTTTTTAAAACACAATCTTTCTTATTGTTTATAGAATGTTTGATCAAACCCACAAACACAAAATGTTTTCTTTTAATTATTTTTGGTAATATCTGTCTATATCTCTGAGATGAGGTATTATGATTACTTGCATAATTTAAATTATTCGGACTGTTATCATCATCTTCTTACCATATTCACAATGACACATGGTCCAGTGGATAAAGACATCGGTTTGATCATGTGACTTTACCTAAAGAGTTGTGAGTTCAATACCAGGCCACAGCAGTGGCGAACCAAAAACATGGAAATTTGAATCAAAGGAAAATTGCTGAGACATCCGAAAGAGGCATGGCACGTGGAACTAGAAAAATCTACCCCAGTGGATGGAATAAAGGGTTCAGTTCAAAATTCCAACTACTTGAAGAAGGCCAGAGTGTACAACGGCCGAAACGTTGGGAATATGACAATGAAGAAAAGGATAACAGTCCGAATAATGTAAATAATGCAAGTATTTTTTGTGCAGTCAATAAACACTCATTTGACACTTTGTCATGACAACAAATACTCATTGTCACTTTTGTAATGCTCGTTGTAGTAGAGACTTTGTAATCGCAGATACAACTATAGTAATGCCGTTGAACAATACTGGTGTCAGACATCTTCCAATAACATTCGCACTAATAGTACTTGCTCAGTATTATACTTGCTTAAATAGTAATCACTGTATAGTGACCCGAATAGATAAATAGTATAGTGAATAGTGTAGAGAATAGAATTCCGTATAGTAATAAGGGATAGAGTAGGAATAACGATCAATCAGACATCGCGCAACTTCCTACAAATATGCGTTTTCTCTGTGGTCACGTGGTCTACTTTAATTCAATAATGGGATCGCCTGTGTTTGCTCACTGGCAATCTATGTTCAAATTCAAGTGTTGACAGTGACACTTTATTCCTATATAACAGTATTTTAGTTAACTTCTCTTGCTTTCATACAAAAAGACGCATATCAAAATCTCATTAATAATACGACTTAATACTAACTAAAGACATTCCAACTAAAAATCAGACCAGGTTGAAGAAATATGAAAAACCGTGGATAATTATAGCATGTGAATTATTTGCTTTGGTTTATTTTGTTTTACGGCATATCAACACCTCAATAGGTTATTTAATGCCGACAACATTTTGAGGATAGATTCGTATAAATAGAATATGTATTCTTTGGTTTAGATTGGTTTCGTTTATTTTGTTTTACGGCATATCAACCTCAATGGGTTATTTAATGCTGACATTTTTAGGATAGATTCGTATGAATAGACTATGTATTCTTTGGTTTAGATTAGATATCGATCTCAATGGGTTATTTAATGCTGACAAAATTTTTTATTGCTGGTAATATTTTGTTTTGTTAAAAATCTGTTTCTGGTAATATATTTCCTTCAAAATTGTATTGCTGGTAATAATTTTTTCAAAAAAGTATTGCTGGTAATAGTTTACTATTTGCCTATAGCTGGGACCCTAACAGGTGCTACCACCTCGGGTCAGAGTGGAACTGGGAACACCAGCAATTAAGAGGTGGTTCCACGCTCCTCAAAACCTCCTGATCAAAGGCCTTGCTGCTGGACGTAGTTTAACGTCTTACCCAGGATGACATGTGCATTATAGATAAAAGATTGTCTTAAAGAAGAATTATTACCCTAACACACACACACACACAAGTAAGTGTGTCTAATATATTTATAATACGAGGTCATATTGAAAAGTTCTAATTCTCAATTAATTGGAAGATGAAGGAAAATTCAGAGATTTGGTCATTTGTCAAATGTTAGAGAAGTGGTTAGGGCTGAGAACTGATAAACATTATTTTACATAGGAGAACCTAATCACAAGTCCAATAAGCCATTAGGTCATGGGGCCACCCCATGTACTGCAGCTACAATGGGTGTGTGTGTGCAGAGCAAGATAGCTTGATGCAATCTCTGCAGCTATAGGCTAATTTTAAATTCAGTTTTCCTTTTTCTAGATTGGTTGTTACGCAGGTTAGAGAGCTTAGTCTACTCTGCAGTTTAACCTTTTTCCGAGATGTTAATACAATGTACTCCCATTTTCTTTTCTCAATCTGCCATTTCAACCCCCATTTTCTGGTATCTTTTCTATTCACTTTTTTTGTCTCTTTTCTCTCCATGTTTCGTATTGTCTCTTTTCTCTTCTTTTTTTCTTACTGTCTCTTTTCTCTTCTTTTTCTCTTACTGTCGCTTTTCTCTCCTTTTTTTTCTTACTGTCTCTTTTCTCTCCTTTTTTTTTCTTACTGTTCTTTTCTCTCCATTTTTCTTATTTCTTAGTTTATCTATTTTTTTTTATTGATCCCTTTTACTCCTCTTTTGTTATTCTCTCTTTTCTCTCCCTTTTTGATATTCTCTTTCTTTTTTCATTATTTTTCTTTTCTCTCTTTTTCATTTTATCTCTTTTCTCTCCTTTTTTGTTCTCATGTTTTCTCTTGTTGTCTCGTCTTTTTTCTCATCTTTTTTCATTTCTTTTTTCTCATCTCTTTTCTCTCCTTTTTCTAGCCTCTCTCTCTATCTCTCTCCCTCTCTCTGTCTGTCTCTATCACTCTTGTCTCAAACCATTTCCCATACTTAAATCCTCTGTTATCCCAACGAAATAAAATTGAATGCCAAGTAAAATTTGAATTGCCTTCCTTTTGAAATGCTCCACTATTTCTTCAAAGAGCAGGCTTCCTTTTGTTGTGCCTGTAGTGTTCAACCAACCAATGAATAGATATTTCTGCAATGACAAAGACAGCGGTAATATACACATGTAGATCTGCTGGAATGTTGGGCAGCAAGCCATCTTGTTTTTCTCATTCATTTGCCACCCATTTTATGCTTTCATTTTCTTAAGCAGGGAAATTGAATTCGTTACTTTTTCCTTTCGAACATGTTTCAGTCAAACTCTTCTATTGAAAACAATTTCTTTACTTTTTTCCGTTCTTTTTATTTTTCCTTTTTTTCTTTTTTCTTTTCATTTTTCTTTTTTCTTTTTCTTTTTCCATTTTCTTGTCTTTCTTTTCATTTTTTCTTTTTTCTTTTCATTTTTTCTTTTTTCTTTTCATTTTCCTTTTTTCTTTTTTTCTTTTTCTTTCCCCATTTTCTTGTCTTTCTTTTCATTTTTCTTTTTTCTTTTTCTTTTTCCATTTTCTTGTCTTTCTTTTCATTTTCCTTTTTCTTTTCATTTATTCTTTTTTATTTTCATTTTTCCTTTTTTCTTTTTCTTTTTTATTTTCATTTTTTCTTTTTTTTCTTTTCATTTTTCCATTTTCTTGTCTTTCTTTTCTTTTTTGTTTTACCTTTTCCTTTTTCTTGTCTTTCTTTTCATTTTTTCTTTGTTCTTTTCATTTTCCTTTTTCTTTTCATTTATTCTTTTTTATTTTCATTTTTTTTCATTTTTCCTTTTTTCTTTTTCTTTTCATTTTTTTCTTTTTTTCTTTTCATTTTTCCTTATTCTTGTCTCTCTTTTCTTTTTTGTTTTACCTTTTCCTTTTTCTTGTCTTTCTTTTCATTTTTATCTTTTTTCTTTTCTTTTTCTTTTTTTTCTTTTCTTTTTCTTTTTTTTTCTTTTCTTTTTCTTTTTTATTTCTTTTCACTGTTTTCATGTCTCTGTTCCACAAAAAGTTACAAAGTATCTCTCTGGCAATTATTCTTTTCCCAGTCTCTTGTCAACGTTTAAATATTTTGTAATCTTTATCTATTTCTTTCTCGCTGTCTTTTTAACTCTTTCTGGTAATTTTCTTACTGTGCATATGGCACTGTTATGACACAAGGGGTTACTAAGTAAAAAAAGAGGACCATTATTAAGGAGCAAGAATAATAGAAAAGTAATCAAGGAGACAGTAGATAATGGTTACATTTTTGAAAACCAAAGTTGACTGAAAAGCGGAGACCCACAAGAGTGTACCACTAATAAGAAGCACAAAAGACGAAACTGAGGACATCTATGTATACAAGGACACATGGCACAGTGGATAAAGGCGTTGGTTAGATCCTGTGACAGGACCCAAAGAGTCTGAGTTCAATACACAGTTAAGGCTGTGGAGAACTTGGAGAGGGGAATTAACAGAAGATAACTGACATCCATTAAACATGGCACCCCAGTAAGCAAAATAAAGGTTTTAGTTCGACCACCTGAAGAAGGCCGAAGAGTACAACGGCCGAAATGTTGTTATAAATATGGCGGCAAAGATGAGGACAATAGTCCAAATAATATAAATAGTGTACATAATACTTCATCTCAGAAATATAAACAGATACTAAAGGGCCGAAACGTTGTGATAAATATGGCGACAAAGATGAGGACAATAGTCCAAATAATATAAATAGTGTACATAATACCTCATCTCAGAAATATAGACAAATATTGTGAATATGGTAATAAAGTCTGAAGTGTAAATAGTTACAATACCTCATCCCAGAAATATCCCAGTCTAGAGGAAGGCCAATTCTGAATTAAAAACTAACTGGATGAGAGGCTTGTAATTCTACCCCTAATTGCTGTGGAAACTACAGTGTGACTCCCTAGCATGGTGGGACTAAATGGGCTTATATTCCACATGGAGCCAACATGTTCAAGAGGGCAGAAAGAACACAATGCACATTTCTCAGTCCGTCGATAATTTTCAACTTCATAAAGATTTTATCTAAAATTATTGTTGCAAAAGCAAAGAAAGTAAAACTCGCTGATGGCAAAAGATTTGAGTTCATTAGATTTTCTAACCGAAGTTTTTTTAATTTTATTTCCTTATTGCAGAAGTCTTACTCTCCTCCCCCCATTAAACTAAGGCCAGTAACATGGGGGAATCATCAGTTTCATCTTGCAAATATCACTAATATTGAAGAGATACATATTTCTAATGATAACTGTTTTTTTTGTTTTTTTTACGGTTTATCAACCCTTTGTGGATTATTTAAAATTAAGACTTATTTCGCATTGTAAGAACAAACTGTGATCTTTTTTTTTTGTTTTATTACAGTAAGGTTCACTCTTTACAAGGCCCAGGCGCCACTCAAGATAGAGGATTATGTTAGGAGGCAATTTTGATAATTGAGAGTGATGGTTCAATTCTTTGATATTTACCGTGATAGCAAAATTATCTGCATGTGAACTGAACTGATGAAACAAGCCAGCCCTTCTATTTATATAGGTGAGCGGACTCTGAAAAAAGTCCTCAACATTTTTGAATCCTTCTAGGTCAAAACGGGATATTCTCCCACTTTCTTTTTTTTATTCGAGAACCAACTCAAATAAAATGAATGTTTCTATTATGACATATATTTTCAACAATCGCAATACGCTTGGCTTGTCGTAGTAATTTCTATTTTTAGTATTTTTCTAAAAAAAGGTCTCTGTAAGACAATTCGCTTACACGGATTAGCATGGGGCCTCTATACTCGTGGGTCCCCTGGGCAAGACCCCATCGAGCCCATGCATTATGACGGCTCTCCATACATCATAATATTGCTTAATTGTTCAATATAATTTCCTTTCGAAGTAAATGAAGGTCTTATGTGATGGCACAATGATTTCGCAATAATGTCCTTGTGCCACGCATTTTGTTCATATACAATTTGTAAAGCTTCAGTGAATTAGAAATTTTATAAGACTGTGCTATAAGGTGTTTACTGATTTAATTTAAGAATTAAATTAAACCAGAGAAAAAATAGTTAACCGTAATGTTGGTCACAAATATTAAAAATGTAAGTTTTACTGGCAAGTTTGTGTTAGGACTGTACGAAGACTTGATCGTCAGGAGTCAGGGTCTCTTTTCTGATCTTTACCGCGGTAGTGAAATTGTCAGCAAGTGAACTGAACTGGTGAGACAAAACAGCCCTCCTTCCATTTATATGGAGGTGTGTGGCCTCTTTGGAGATAGTCCTTCTAGGTCAAAAGAGGACATTTTCCCACTTTTTTTTTTATTTTTAAGCATTTCACCCCAAGCAAGGTGGGAAGCCACTAGGACGCAAGGGGTTACCGAAAATTTAGAGCAAGATCAGATAGGAGCGATAAGGATAAGGATAGTGGATAGATCAAGGCAACCGGAGATGTCAATTGACATTACATTTGAATAGTTGGAGATTATAGCTTTCAGGGAAACTGGAATAGGGAAGGGAGTTCCATAGGCGAGAGGTGCGAGACATGAAGCTATTAGAGTAGAAGAGACGGCTACATTTAGGAGTTTCGACAGTGAAAGGGTGTGAGCGGGATGCCAGCCTCGTGGGGCGCTTGAATTCATGAAGTCTGGGAACCAGCGAATGCAGCTCATCAGAGCAATTACCATGAAAGTATTTGTAAAAAAGACAAAGAGAGGCGACGGCGCGTCTGTGAGAGAGCAACTGTAGACGAGATGCCAGAACAGGGCCAATTATATTGCATATCCGCCTCTGGATCATATCAAGAACCTTGAGACAAACATAAGGTGCACCAGACCATATATTGCAGCAATACTCCATGCAAGGGCGAATGGTTGATTTGTAGATTTGAAGGGTCGATTCTGTGGAGAAAAATTTCCCGGTGCGGCACAGTGAGCCAACTTTCCTTGCGGTGGACGAAGCACTTGACTTTATATTTTATTCGAGAACCACCTCAAATTAAATGGATTTTCACCAATCGCATTAAGTGTGACTTGTCGCAGTAATTTCTGTTTTTAGTATTTCCTAAAAAGGAGCTTTTGTAAAACAAGTCATTTATCACACACAGATTAGCATAGGGCCTCTATACTCGTGAGGACCCCGGTCGAGTGCTGGTCGAGCCCATGCCTTACGATGGCTCTGTGTCTGGTTACTATGGGACTTCCCACAGCTCAAGAACATTTCGGAGAATCCTCATAGTAGAGTCCGTGATGGCAGTTTTCTAGAGTCCTACTGTTTGGTCTAAAATAAAGTTTTCCTTAAATTCGTTTTTAAGTTTTGAGGCGGGGTTCCAAGCGTATCCAGGAATTACTTCAACACTCATGTTCCATAGTTTTATTTTTGTTCCAACTTCCTAGTCAAATAGGATCATCCATCTATCTTTTCAGTTTCTTTGGAGTCCACTCTTGTATCATATGGGAGAGCAAAATCAATAATTCAATACTTGCTACTTTCTTATATCTATATCAATAAGGTCGGATCTTTGTGCTTCAGTGATATGATCGATCTGGACGGAGAAATTCCATAATACCTTATGACCTTTTGTACCACTGCCTCTGGCTAATCTTCATACCATTCTCTTGTCGGAGTTAGCTCCTCCTTAATTCCTTAATTGTTCACTAGGAGTCGCTCTCCCTACACTATAAATACTGGGCGACTTCTTGCCTCGTTCTCTTTTCTACTTTGCATTTCAGCGGACACATTTAAAAATGTGATCTCTCGTAGAGATCCGCGTTTTCACCCTCTTGTGGGAAAACGCCATGAAACACACATACACGTACGTACGAACATTCACCAAAATACAAACTCTTTACGTTCACACACAAACACAAATGTTGATGTCTTTGTCACTTGTAAAATTGTTGTTTAATACATATATTTGTGCACACACACACACACGCACACACACACACACACACACACACACACACATATATATATATATATATATATATATATATATATA